CCCTTGGGGCCCCCCCGGCTGGTGCCCCGTTCCCCCGGGGACGGCCGCTCGCGGCGGCGGGCCACTGTCCCCTCGTTGCTGAATTATGGTTTCCCAAGGGCCCTCGGGGATGCCTTAAACACGGGAGCGGGACGTGTCCCTCACTGGGGACAGATGGGTCCCCCAAGGGCACTGCGGTCCCCGGGCATTGCTCATTTTGCCTCCTGCTTCCTCAGGGACCTGAGCGAGAACTTCATCCAGGCCATCCCCAGGAAAGCTTTCCGCGGGGCCACCGACCTCAAGAACCTGTGAGTCACGGCCGGGGTGGGCAGGGGCTGGGGTGTCAGGGGCTTGCGTGGAGGAGTTTGGGGTCGGGTTCGGAGGCAGGAGGCATCCGGAGCTGGCTGATGGCTGTCCACACCAGCTCTCCCAGTAACGCTCCCTCCTTCTTTCTCCCACAGGCAGCTGGACAAGAACCAGATCAGCTGCATCGAGGACGGGGCCTTCCGCGCCCTGCGGGGGCTGGAGGTCCTGTAAGTGGGCAGGGGCCGGCTGGAGCCTCCAGCCCCACGCGGGGGATGAGGGTGCCCCCAGGCGAATGGCACACACCGAGTTGCTGCAGGGACATCCCCATCGCGCCCGCCGAGGAGAGACCAAGCTGGGGGTCTGGCACCAGGCGCTGCTGGGGCTGAGCAGAGCCCCAGCAGTTTTGGGGAAAGCCTCTTTCCTGTGCTCCAGGGCCTGATCCTGCCCCATGCAGTGTGCCTGGCTGCAGGGATGTGTGTGCGGGAGGGGAAGAGCTTGCAAGTGGCAGCAACACCTGCCTGGGCACTTGGGCTGTCCCCTCCGTCGCCTCTCTGTCCCGCCAGCACTGCTTTAGGGGGGGGTTGCTCCCAGGGGTTTGGCGCTGGCGGGTGTCATGCTCCCGTTTGTGGTCTGGCTGCCCTGACCTGCCTGCCTTTGCCTTCCTGCAGGACCCTGAATAACAACAACATCACTTCCATCCCCGTGTCCAGCTTCAACCACATGCCCAAGCTGCGGACGTTGTGAGTGCCGGTGGGGCATGACAGGACCCAGGGGGCCGGAGCGGGATGCCCGGGAGCGGGATGCCCCAGCAGCCCCCTGCTCCCCATGGTTCAACAGTGCCACGACAGCCCTATGGGGAGGGGAGAGGGGGACATCCCTGCAGGCTAGCAAAGGAGGAGCAGACCTGTCCCCCGAGCACTGCCAAGCAAGATGGACTTGGCAACCCATGCAGATGCTCTCCGTTGCACTGGAGAAGGGGCTGTGACCCCCTTCTCCTTCCGTTGCAACCCTCTGTGTGTCACCATGCTTCAGGATGAGCCGGATGAGGCCCAGGGGATGTGGGGCAGCCAGAGAGCAGGGTGGGGGGCAGCCCTGTCCCGTGGCCACTGACTGCCC